CTAATTGCATTTCCCTGAGAACCGACAAACAGCCAGTGGTTTGGCTAAATCAGCTGGGGGGAGGGTGCGGCTCCAGTCTTTCTTAAGCAGCTGGGTGGTGGAGGCGCCCAGCGCTAACCTTGTTCATTTCAGTTCATTTTGTGCTGAGATTCCGGCTCAATGAACTGTTGGGAAGGCAAGTGAGTGGCATCCTGACTTTTTTGAGGGGCGGAGCTTGGACCTTTGAGAGTCTGGTTGGGAGCATTACTGCTTTAAACAGGAAGGTGGTGCAGAGAGTGGTGAGGATGGCAGAAAAGTTTATTGGTAGTTCACTTCCTTCTATTCAGGACATAGCATATAAGTGATGCTTGAGCAGGGTCCGCAGAATTTTCTGGGATGCTATACATTTTGTGTGTTATGTGTGTTGTGTATGTGTATGGGCAGATCAGGGGTGGGTTCCTACCTGCTTTGGTACAGGTTAGCTTCGCGTGTGCATCAGACATGCATTGCGCACATGTGCGCAGTTCACTGTAAATTGTGCATATGCACAAAGACCATAAAAAACTAATAAAAACATGCCAGCAATGGCGGTGGAGACCGGGAAACTGGTTCAGGGGTGTGGCCAGCCTGGGTCACTGCCAGTCAGGCGACCCAGGCCAAATTACAACTACCAGTTTGCCCAAAGCAGTGCAAACTGGTAAAAACCTACCTTTAGGGTAGATATATACATTATTTTAAGTGCAAGTCAGGGGTGGGTTCCTGCCAGTTCTAACCTCTTTTATAGAAGATGTTCCACAAATCTACAGTGCCGTTTAGAACCGGTTCCAGCTCCTTCCCCCTGCCTGTCCACACATCATCAAGATGAAGAGCAAGAGGAGGAATTCTGGGAGTTGAAGTCCACAAGTCTTAAAGCTGTCAAGTTTGAACACCCCTGGGGTTTTTTTTTCTTTAGGGGTGCAAGGGTCTTGTAACTTGACAACTTTAAGACTTGCACACTTCAATGCCAGAGTTCCTGAGCCAACATGACTGGAGGAGGAATTCTGGGAGTTGAACTCCATGAGTCTTAAAGCTGTCAAGTTTGAACACCCCTGGGGATTTTTTTCTAAAGGGTTACGAATGCAAGGATCTTGTAACTTGACAGCTTTAAGACTTGCGTGCTTCAAATGCCAGCGTTTCTAAGACAACATTTTGATTGTTAAGCAAGACCATTTTTAAGTGAGTTTCACAACATTTTACAAGTTGGCTACGCCCACCAGGTCACATGACTGTCAAGCCACTCCAACTTAGTCACATGGCTGGCAAGCCACTCCCACCCAGTTACATGGCCGGCAAGCCATTCCCACAAAGCAGGCCATACCTACAGAAGAGGTTCTAAAAAAATTTGAAACCCACCACTGGTGCAAGTTGTATACATTCTTTCTTCTGAAGTAGATCTGAAGAAGCTTTTTGAATGAGAAGTGAAATATCTTCAAAGAAAAAATAGACTGTCCAGTTGCCTCTTTAAAAAAAGCACCTTTGAGACAACCATGACCAGGATGACTGAAGATCTCCATAGACATTCTGCTACTCAAGCAACTTGTAAGGTGGACTGTCCTTCATCTAGGTTATGCTTCGGAATTCAAAAGAATCAGATGGTGTAATAAAACAACATCATCCCAAAAATGAGTTCAGATAAAGAACAGTCATAGCTAATATGAGCTAATGTACCTCCCCCACCTCCCAGCCCCCACACAAAAGCAGCATCCACAGATGAGTAATAATAGCTTTGTTACAGGTCACTCAAATGACATGAAAGAGTGCACAGGATTTTGAGGTTTTCGGGTAAGAAAAAGAGGTTAGGAAAAGCAGGGACTTTGAATGCTAGAATAGGAAGTTAAAACACATCCCAGAAGAAAGCAAAGGCAAATCACTTCTGTATTCAGCTGAGAAAACTACATGGACAGATATCGAGGGAAATGCTCAGCAGTAAATTTGACTTCTATGGATGAAAAGCAATGGGGGGAAAATACGATGTTGGCCCAGATGCAGTAAGAATAAAGTGGCAATGGATCTCAAAGGAATAGCTGCCTGAAGACTCTCAAAGTCTTTAAAAGCCTGTAATGTTGCATACAGATGACAATACTTTCTGTTTAGACTGTATGTTTATTAGATTTGAGCTGTCGCTTCTAACAAATAAAACACTGATGAACTGGCACGATTCCTACATCTGGCACATCTTGTTTCATCCACATTTCAAAATCTATTCTAAATCACTTTATGTTTGAGAACGTACTTTACTTTTTGTTAAATAATATGTTAGAAGAGCACTATTAATTCCTGTGGAAATACTGGATTCTTTCAGAAAGCTAGCATCTGGATCTGAATCAGATGAACTTCAAAGAGACGCTACATGAACAATTCTTCTTTGAAGTATACTTAGAAGCACTCTCATGGTTAGGAATCCAAAGCAGCCTCTGACTTTGCTGTTCTTGGAAAAATCCCAGTCAGATGCCTTTGAAAAAACAGAGAAAGAGAGAGAGGCTTTCATTTTAGAAAACTGGTGTCTGGATCAGCTGTACTTCAAAAGAGAATGTCTTGTGCAGACTTTTTTCCCCCTTTGGCTTTGAAGTATAGCTAATTCAGATACTGACATTAAAAAGGGAAGGAGGGGAGGAGAAAAGAAGGTCACCCAATCGTAGCACACCTTATTTCACTTTCTCATTTTCTATCTTGTAATGTCCAAAGGTTGGGAGGAGGAGGAGGAGGAGGAGGAGGAGGAGGAGGAGGAGGAGGAGGAAGATTTAAGTAGTTATGCATACCTGTTACAGTTAAGCAATAGCTGTTATTCTATCATGATATATTCATGTTTTATAATTAATGATTGGTCATCAATCCATATGGTACCGTCTGATAAAAGCCATTTTGCACTGACCTAGATTGGGAGGTCTCAGCTTCAAAGAGTTTGTAAGGAAAATATTGGAAACAACAATACATGTTGAAAGAATATGTGGTTCTTTCTATCTGAAATCCCCAAAGGTATACTCTATAAAAAGTTAAACTAAACCCTCAGCTTGAGGGAGGAGAAAGTTGCAGTAGCCTAACATGTGAGGGCACCACATCATGAAGGTCTTGTACTTCCTAGAAAGGTGAATCTGGATTAGTGACACTTTCCCCAAGCATTAGGGTGAAGTACAGCCATTTCTAGGAGCAGCATCGACTTTTGCATAGCTGTGTATAGTCAATGAGATAGAGGATGTGGTTGATCTCTTTTGGCTTTTCTAATTAGTGATGCTAACACCAAGATTAACATCAGATCAACAATCAAGAAGTAAACAATACTCCAATCAAGGAACTGCCAAACAAGCCAATAGTAAACAGGCCAATCAAAGGACCATCAAAACCATCCCCATCAATACTGGCAGGGCAAGTCACTGGAATATAAAATGAGAGCAAACTCAACCCCCTTCCAGCACTGGTGATGGTACCTAGTTGGGTGATGAAACATCTGCAAGAAATAACCAAGCTCACAGAGCACCAAGGATCCCTAAGCTTCTGTTCTCAGATGGGCTAGAAGAAATGGTCAATATCACTGAAAGAAACTTGCTTGCCAGTCCAGTCAACATCTACAAAACAAGCTGAGGACTGTAATCCTTTTGGGGGGGGTCTCTGTGTGCAGTCACACAACCTTTTTCTGTGCATAAAGCTGCATGTCCTGACTCGATTACTGAAGAAAATTTAGATTCTTTGGAATAAAAATGGAAGCCTTGATTTGTCACTTTTGGGATATGGCTGATTCAAAATTATAACCCTCAGCAGCACCTGGCCAACCATCCAGCTATGCATAATAGGCTTGTTTAGTAGCCTGTTTCCCTGAAAATAAGACCTCTCCAGATAATAAGCCCAATTAGGCTTTTGAGCACATACGGTAAAATAAATCCTTCCCTAAAAATAAGCCCTCCCCAAAAATATTGCAACACAGCAGCAGCCATGAGGAGACCACGCTCACTGCCCCCTATACCTCAAAAATAACAAGATCTCCCCAAAAATAAGGCCAAGCGCTTATTTCGGGGGGTCAAAAGAAAATAAGACGCTATTTTCGGGAAAACATGGCACTTTAATGGGAGACTGCTAGGAGTGTGGACTAGGCCTGGAACATTGTGGGGGGGGAGGATGGAAAAAGGGAATATTGAACCACTTCTCTATTGTTGATAAGAAAACTACAACATAGTTATTAAGTTACCAGGATCCAGGCTTAATCTGAATATTTTACTTCATTATAATACATATATACATACACATATACATATACATATACATATACATATACATATACATATACATATACATATACATATACGTGTGTGTGTGTGTGTGCGTGTGCGTGTGCGTGTGCATGTGTGTGTGTTTGAAGTGGGTTTGCTGGGCTTCAGGACTGCTGATCTCTGCTATTACAGTGCTCCAATTCAAGGCAGTATCTTTACCAGGAAAATGGAGTCGCTTAGCTTCTGCACCACATATCTCGACATCAAAGCAGGCTAGCTTGACTGAGCCATCTGCTGTAATGCAAGAGAAAGGAGCCTCTGAGCACGTGCAGCCATGTATAGAAACCCCCCAAGCAAGGGGGCTGCTTTGATCAGTGCATCACTTTGATCAAAGCCTTGCTGAAGCAAAGTTCCCCCTTTCAAAACTCCACACAGCTCTCTCTCTCTCTCTCTGCACTTCCTTTGCTTGCAGCTGGAAGAAGAACTCCAGGGCATCTCTAAAGTTGTTATTTGCCGTTGTGTAGATGATTGAGGGAGGAGAAGGCCTCATTGATTAGAATACACGTGATGTATCTTCCATGACTTGCTTGTTCGTTTCACAAATCACAAAGTCTCTTCCCCTTGGAGATTGACATCTGGTAGAAAACTCTTAATTAGAATACCGTATCCCTAGGTTGCAGTTCTAGTGCTGAATATGCAGTGCGGGGAAGATCCAGAGGACTCAGTGGGCATTACAAGGAAATAGCAAATCTTTGCTAGTGCAGAACAAAGAAAATCAAGATGGGGATTTGGATTTTGAATGAAAGTTTGTCAGTTCTGCTGGTTGTAAGTATTCATAATCAAGCTACTGAATCTGATAAATCTGATAAATCTGATAAATCATTGGTTTTTGGAGGGGAATTATTGCATTTTTGCTACATTTTTTAGGCTTTCTATAGCGTAAAAGTTATGGTGGCAAAGTGCAGTCCTGCTATCTGGGCAGGTGGCGCAGTGGTTAAATGCAGCACTGCAGGCTACTTCAGCTGACTGCAGTTCTGCAGTTCGGCTGTTCAAATCTCACCGGCTCAGGGTTGACTGAGCCTTCCATCCTTCCGAGGTGGGTAAAATGAGGACCCGGATTGTTGTTGGGGACAATATGCTGACTCTGTAAACCACTTAGAGAGGGCTGAAAGCCCTATGAAGTATATATAAGTCTAACTGCTATTGCTATTGCTATCTGTTATTCACCTCCTGGATTTGTAAAATGGAAAGGGGAGGCCACAGAGAAGATGAAGCTGGCTTTTCTGTTGTTTTTTTTTCACATATTCACGTTTGTGAATTTCTCAAAGCACCAAGGAAGACATTTCTAAATCAATGGGCTTAAAAATAATTACTTGAAATCAACTAGTGAAAACCTTTCTATTCTACCGCAGTTATTGTGGTTCGGGATAAACTTCTACTTGTTCACTGACACATTCTTCTGGTATGAATCCGAGGACGCCTACCTCTACACACGTGTTATGTTGGGTGTGAGTAAACTTCTTCTGAAATACCTTCTGGATCTTTTATTTAGCTCTCCATCTATTTTGTTATTCCACCCAATCCCTTCATTTGCCCAACTTTCCACTGCGTCTTTGTTTCTGTATACACCTATCTCTTTACCTTGTCATACTTAGCAACTTTGCTTGTCCATTGTCCAACTCCCCGCATACTGGCTGAGGACTTTTGAGAAACAATGGACTAGATTCATCAAAATAATTGTCTTATGGAAATTTATTTTAAAATTATTTCCCTTAATGCATGTGTGGCACTTCAAAAATATACAGTTTCTAATGGGTCATGCAATGCATGGGAGGAGGAATTAAAAAAAAATCTATCCATTACCTACAAACTCTTCATTCCCTACCTCAATACTTCTTAAGCGAACCTCCTCTTTTGCCTTCTTTCCTTGCTGCAGAGGCCACTTTTTGTGTTTTAATAACAACAGAAATAGATTTTCTCTGTGGTGATCTGTCCCTAACATACTTTTAGATCTTCCAACAATATCAGTAAATCTGAGTAGCTGAATGTTTCCTCCTTGCTGCTGGTTGCCCTCTTCCTTTCTTTATTTTATAGCTTAGAGCCTTCTCCAAAGAGCTAGGCCTTCACATAACATTGCTAAAGTAGGATTATTTGTTTAACCATTGTAAGAATAATTTATTACCTTATTTGACATTGCTGAATTTACTTGCCAGATAGCAGGTCTTAAGATAAAAAATGTGACTGCCAGATATTTTGCTGATATCAAATAATTGGCCAACCTTTTAAAAAAAAACATTGCTATACTATTTAAATCTGAATGTCTTTGTCTCTTTCTTTCACTGTAGACCATATCAATCATTTCATCCAAGGTCATCTTAGGAATTACACCTCCATAAATAAACAAAAAGAGATGTGATTGTTTTGGCATGTGAAGTTCTTAATTTTACCTAAGTAACAGTTTTGTTCTCCTGTACCTAGTCTGCACTTGCATGGGCAAGAGCTTCTGCTACTTGCCTCAACTTCAACTGCTTGCTGATCCTCCTGCCAGTCAGCAGGAATCTCATCTCCTTCCTACGGGGAAGTTTTGTAAGTAGCGTCTATGGAGATTCTCAGTGATCCAGGTTATTGTTGTCCCAAAGGTACCTTTTTCAAGAGGTAACAGGACTTTCTTGTTTTTGTTTTTGTTTAGAAGACGCTTCGTTTCTCATCCAAGAGCTGAAGAAGGTTCTTGGATAAGAAGTGAAACACCTTCAAAGAAAAACAAGGAAGTCCAGTAGCTCTTGGAAAAAGCACCTTTGGGACTTTTATAAGTAATGTTTAGTGATGGTGGTAGTCTATTTGTTGTCTTTTTAACTCTTATTGTCATGGTTCAATATTTTAGTATACTTTCATATTGTGTACTAGGAATACCTCTTCTTCTTCAAGAAGAAGATAATCTGTAAGATTTAGTTGTAAATGGATAATGTTGATAAGTAGGTGCTGGTAAGTAAATATATCTGGAGAAAGAGCTCAGAAGGTGATTTTGGGCAAATCCTCTTTCTGAGCCCAACCTATCTCAGAGAGAGATAGTTGTGGGCATAAAATTAAGGACCTCCTAACCGTTGGCCTTTTAGAGGAAAGTGAGAATTAAATGCAATAAATAAAAGTTTATCAAAACACACATTAAATGGAATTGATGCATAATACTGGCTTAGAGGGCATTCCCACTAGAGAGATGTTTCAGCAGTATCTTTTTTCCCATGGCAACTTTCTATATTCACTAAACAGGGTTTTGAATTATGAAATTGAATCATGAATCATGAAACTATAATAAAGTTCCAAGCGGGAAAAGAATTGGCAAAAATTATGTCTCCCATCTTTTGTAGTTATCTTTAGATCTCAATTTGTTCCAGGGAAAGAAGAAACTCCTGCATTGTTGGAAAGGCAAGTCTGGATAGACTTTGATTAGCATAGTACATAATAACTTGCTTGTTGATGGAATGAAACACAGAGAAAAAGATGCATGAATGCATCTGTTAGATATGATTATTATCACTTTTCATTATGGAAAAGAGCCAATTCACCAGACAAGAGTCACAGGGAAATTATCCATTGTGATTTTTATCTTGTCTGAATTTATTGTTTCATTGTACCTTATAACATTCATAAAGCTGAAGCCTGAAACAGGATGATCTTGCACAAATGAATAATGACCATGTGGATTTGTTTGCACCATATCTTCTAACCTAGTTAACTCTTGTGGTTCACAACAAAATACTGTGGTGCTAGAATTTAAGGCAATTATATAGCAGAAAATTCAAAGCAACCTTTCACTATTGTCATTCACATAATTCTTTGGAAAAAGCTGTGACCTCTATTTCAAACTGGTTAACAATGTAATACAGAAACTGCATATTGGCCAGTATAATGGAAGTGCTAATTATGAAATGGATGAGTTCTGGAAAAAAATCTGCAAATAGGAAATTATTTAAGACATTTAAAAATAAAATAAACTGCTTAAAAATGTAGCCTTTTGTAACACAACTGCACAATACATATATTTGTCTGCCTTGTGATGCAGTAACAATTCTATATGGCTCTATTTTTGCTTTTAAAAATATGTTTTAAAGAAAAACACCTGTAGTCTATATCAATTAAATACATAGTGCAATCTTTTTTTCCATAATAGAAAGGTTTATAACTTTATCAATACTATTTTAACCAACAAAACTGTTGCTTTTCCAGTATGCAAACAAGTTATATATTTTGGAGGTGCAACGAAAAGACTAAATATTCAACCTCTTGAATTGTGGGCTACATTCACATATAACATATGTGAAGCTAAAAAAGCTATATATTAGCATCATTTACTAAAGAAATGAGCCCTGTTAAGCTATGGACTTTCTTTTCTATTTATCTTTTTGAAGAGGTTGTACATTTTTGTTCCCAATTTTATCAGCTGCAGATTAAAAAAAAGAACAAACAGTGATTTATCCACATTTACAATTCCTGACCAAGTCAACTTCATATTATGGATTATGTACTTTGCTTAAATAATTGTGTGAACAAAAACTCTACTTTAGATTGAAAAACATATAATTGAAGATGGAGGAAAACATCTAATCTCATTCTTTCTCATGTATTATGAGAGGGAGGAGAGGAATGAGTATCATAGTTACTAAATTCAAGCTTAGAGTCATGCAAATGAAATAAACATGATTTAAAATACATCTTGGTTTTCATCAAGTGTCGCAGGACAATACTGAGGAGACAACTGGATAAAAATATCACATTTCACAAGATAATTGCCTATGGAGTAGCTGTAAATGCAAGTAAGTTAGAAAACATTTTGCCTGCAATATTACTTGTTTCTATCCAGGATCATATACATCCAGCATATTAGCTGCATGCTTGAATAATTCCACTTACCTCCCAATGCTCAATTATTGTGGATCAGTGGAAGTTAACTTTGGGAAAAATGTTAAACTAAATTGCCATCCTTGGAGTTAGCATACCAGATTTCCTATGGCAATGACTTTAGTTGTAATGGAAACCATTTCTGAAGTCTCTCCTAGCTTTAATGGAGTTGGAATTAATGCAATTGTTTTGAAAATGGGAGCCCCATACAATTCTTATTACCACCATTATTTACATTTCTATTTCTAGCTTTAATTGAAATAGGAATATTTGTGCTTATAGTGTACATGTAGATTTTACTTACTTTATTTTCCAGCAGTAAAGCAAGTTTATTGTAAATAACAGTACAACAAAGATACCGTACCACAGAGACAATACAAAAATAAAAGAACATTAAGCCTTTGATCCATCTTGTCTACTATTCTGGTATTATAGCATGGCCAACCAGGTATATTCAGGAAATTCGCAAATATAGACAGGGGGACAATAGTCTTCAATGATTGTTCCCTAGCAGCTGGTGTTTAAGGTATATAGTCATTCCTTGTTTAGTGACTACCTTGGTTAACAACCATTTGCAAATATGATGGTAATAAATGGTAACTTTAAAAAATCATTTCCCAACCAATGCAGGCATTTACAACCAAATTTCATATCCCTGACAACAATGCATACCTAAGGGAGAGTAACACTGGTGTAGATGAGAGAACTGTATCTGAATGACACAGCAGTGAGTGGTCTTTGCTGTCTGTCTGTCTAACTGACTGACTGACTGACTGCCTCTGCCTCCCCCCCACCCTGCCTCTCTCTCATGTTCACTTCATGAGCATCTTGCTTAATGACCTGGTTGATAGAACTAAATGAGGAGTGGGTGTCTTAAGATGGAGTAAATTACACTATGGCTAAAAGCCATTGATAAGCCAATACTCTTTGATTTTGTCCAAAACTTTTTAAAGCCATTTAAATTGGTGGATATCTAAATCTGATGACACCACCATCTTGAACAAATCATGCAATATATAAAAAATCTCAAGTCTTTCCTTTGATCAGTTCTGGATCATTTGCATTCAGTTTCAGTTAATAATGCCTAATTCTAACATTGTAAGAATGTTAGGGGGAAAATATAATTTTTTTTACCCATCTTCTATGCCTGACATGCATTAATTTATCTCCACTTTGCCTACCCTTACTCTCTTTGTTCACAGCTCATAAGGAACATTTAAACAATAAGATGAATGTTTCAGTCATTTTACCAAACAGGTGCTGATGTTTCTTAAATCTAATATGGCATAATTCCTGCCAGAATCAATGAGCTGAATATTTGTTCTTTGTTTTGCTGAAAACCTCAAAAGAGTATGGAATTCAGAATATGCCACAAAGCAATATGATGAGATGCTTCTTTATCATGGACAGCAATTTATCAATTTGCTTTCATCGTATGAATACATTCCTGAAAAATGTGCACACATTTCTTTTTCTTAATTAAGAAGTCATTCCAGGAATAGAAATCCATTAATTTGACTTGTTTTAAATTTTCTCCTGTAACAAAGTAAAAGTGCACCAAACTACATTGGCTGCGCTTTCCAATTTAAGTTTAAGAGGTTAGGCATGAAAGTTATTCATAAAGCTGGAATGCATTTCAGTATGTATCACATCTTTGTGTGTGTGTGTGTGTGTGTGTGTGTGTGTGTGTGTGTGTGTTTATATTTATATTTTAAAATCTTGCCTAAAGTATCTCCCAGAGTAATGGAAGAAAGAACCCATGACAGTTATAAAAGGGTGTCTACACTCTTATTTTCCCATAATTTTAAATTAAAACTTTTAAAACCCAAATACCCAGGGTTGACATGCTTTGGGTCCCATCAGTAAAAAAAATGTCATGTTATGGCACCCAGAAGACATGCTGGTTTTTTAGAGAATTATCCCTCCTGATACTACATGGCTGTTCTGACCTAGGCTTCCTAAGATCATGAAGCAGACTCCTCATCCTGATACAACCTCTTTTATTTAGGTTAAAGAGAATTCCTTTTCAGCAAAGTCCTAGCAAACAGTCTTTGAGGTTTGAGGTTTGAGGTTTATTCGATTTATATGCTGCCCTTCTCCCAAGGACTCAGAGCAGCGTGCAACATTAAAAGAAACACATACTACAAAAGTTAAAAAGAAATTAAATAGGATATCC